TTCTTCTCACTCTTCTATTGTTTACATCTTTTTTCTTTTAGCCACTTTCTCCTCCTCCTCCTCCTCCTTCTCGCACTTCTTCTATTGATTATATCTTCTTTTTTCTATTAACCACTTTCTCCTCCTCCTCCTCGTTCTTCTTCTTCTTCTTCTTCTAAAAGCGGTGTCCTTTCAGGACCTGGGAGATCATGCCTCTCGACAATTCTTCGTCTTTTCTAGTTATTAGTAAAATTTGTCTGTTCGCTGATCGTACCAGAATCTGTCTTTGAGCGTGCTATGACTGTAAGCTTTGTAAAAAGGTACGACTGAGGGTGGTCCGAATCCGTGCAAGTGTTATCACGTGTCCTAACTGGAATGATCAGAACTAAAGAAAGGCTCTCATATGAACTTTTGCTACGGAATCTCACCAATAGTACTATAGATAAAAACAATGCTTCTCAAGACGTATTTTTTTTAAATGTAAGCCCGCCTTCTTTATATAGAAATACGCACGGCACACACTTACCCAGATATTTGACCTAATATTGCATGCGAACACGCTTAGTGAATAGGTAACTGACTGATTTCGTGAATGAGGCTGGAGTTTTCTTCTGAAAAGCTACTCCATGAAAAGCAACCGCGTGCCAGACTGCAGTTGACGTAAACTCTGCATTCAAAGCAATGGAAGCTCGTTTATGTACTTGTTTATTTCTATCGACAAGCAAAGCACGGCAAGTTGATTGATTCAGCTTCGGCGAGCGTAGGGAGGGAAACAGGTCGTTAGACAGGCGAATACAGAGCCGTAGAGGAAAACTAATGAGTGATAGGAATGTTGAAAATCAATAGATCAATATCGAATATAAAATACATTTCCAGAATAAAGTTACGCCTAAAGTATAACACAGATAAACAGACAAGTTTCTATGAATTTAACACACATATATATGCATATATATATATATATATATATATATATATATATATATATATCTATATATATCACCACACAACTTTTGTATTGGTCACAATCACAGACTTCCAGTATTCTCTCTGTTCCAACACAACGGGCGCGTCAAGACTTGGTTTCCGGAGCCAGAACCGGATCTACTCATGAATTGCATGAAAGAGTCTTCTTCGGAACCGAACGAAGGACAACCTTAATATATATATATATATATATATATATATATATATATATATATATATATATATATAGCAGTATAACCCGTCTTTGACCGGGTCTTTCATTACTGAGAATTTTTGCATTTCAATTGAAGCAATTTAAGTTTAAAGTCAGCCTAACAAAAAATCAATATTAGTAGCAACATTAGAGTGCAACTGATGCACATCCCCAAATGGGGGGGGGTTAACAATTTGAAGGGGTGTGGCGTTGAAAAGGGAACTGTATACTAGTATTATTGTAATAATTTAAACTATTTTTATTAAAGTTTTTACGAAATATATATATATATATATATCCAAAAACATATAGTAAATAGTAAAACGTTGAGAGCTGAGAGTTATAATGGAAGTAGTGGAGAGCCATTGTCGCCAAAAATTTGGACTCAAAGTCGGCACTGAAATATTATCTATCAAACAAAAAAATTGCATCGAAATCAGACGAAAACTGTGGAAATGTATAAGCAACATCCGATCACACATACACACATACATACACACACACATTTTGGGAAATATAGATATAGATTAAGTGAGAGAGAAAGAGAGGGAAAGAAGTGCAAAATGAGAAGATCCATTTGGTCTGTTCATCGGATTGAGGCGGTAAAATGGCAGTTACAATCTCCTGTTGAAAGTTATGTTCACACTATCCGCCTATATACATACATACATACATATATATATATATATATATATATATATATATATATATATATATATATATATATATAATATAATATAATAAATTTTTCATCGGGCATTATTTCTTATTTTAAATTTTATATGTAAAGGCTACACCCAAAGGGTCAAGCAGGTGTGCACACGATATAAATTCTGTGGTGCAATTGTTTTGTTCAAATACAAAAAATATATAGAGTGTTTAGATAGACACATTGAGGACTAGTCTATTTTCAACGTTTAATGTCTGTAGTAGTGAGCTAACGGAGAAGTGTTCCGTTTAACAATGGCAATATATCTTGAGCAGGCATATATGATTTTTACATAAGGCCGCGCAAATGGTAATGTACGCGAGGCAGCATGGCTGTCACAGAGTGTATTTTGCCCCATTTTCAATTGATAGATACCGCTAAAAACCTTATGCTGTACGGAAGAAATTATTTAAAAAGGACATTTGAAAAAAATAAACTGATATAAATATGTCCTCTTTGAATAACAGGGCATACAAGTCATTAGAAATTTTAAAAAGATTATTTATAAAATTAAAGCAAGAAATACATTGCCTATTAAGTATGTCTCTAGCTTGAAAGGCTTCAGATCTACGCAGTCCGACTAGCCACATTAACTTTATTTCATTCTTCCTTAATTACTTTGTTTTTCTTTGTTTTTCTTTCTTTCTTTCTTTCTTTCTTTCTTTCTTTCTTACGAACACTATCAACGAAATGTATTTCGGTCAACATTTTGAGGCACAGAGTTAAAACAATTTTGGATCAAGCTGAAGTCAAGAAAAAAAAACGGCGTACTACGATAGATTTTGCGCAAATCATATCTGCCTGCTCACCATATGAATATCCTGATATTGTTAAACGGAATAATTCGCAGTTAACTCACAACTACACACTTTTAAGGTTGAAGACAGACTAGCCACAAATGTACACGAATGAGAAAATTAACATGGCAACACAGTGTCATCTACCGTAAACTTTCTTTAAATTTAATAACTAAAATCGAAGGAATTGCAGAAATTAGTTCATATGAACTTTTGTCCTTGTTTTGTTGTGAAGAACTCGCTCCAAAGTTTGTAAATTAATTTTTGATACACCCTGTATTTGTGAGATAAAGATATTTAAATTTTTATATATCAAGGACAATACTGGGGAGATGTATGAGAAAATGGAAAAATGTTCTTGTGTGACGTGTTTGGTTCATTAGGACTTCATCGGACTAGATTTGTGTAACTGCACCATCGTAACTCAAATGAAGTCCTAAAAGTCGAAACGTGTCACACGAAAACATTTTAAACCTTTCTCAGACATTTTCCTCGATATATATAATTGTGTATTTAGGCTGCAAACCGTCTTTTATACAAGTTTTATTGAAGAAAACTAACAAGGCAGTACCATTAAGTTTGTTTTTTTTAATTAAATTGTTCTTCATTTGTATAAGTAATATATTTTCTGGACATAGACTGTGTAAAACCTACCCAAATGATTCCATTATTAAGGATGCTTCTTTTTGTGTGTAATTAAATATGTAGTTTTTTATGATATCAATTGTCAACAACTTGTTGTCTGAGTTCGGAAATTAAAACATCCATCCCATATATATATATATATATATATATATATATATATATATATATATATATATATATATATATATATATATATATATTTACCGACATGGTCCAGCTATTTTGGGGGGATTAGCCGACATTAGTTTGTCGAGCGACAACGAGTGAATCGTCACACGTTGTTTATAACTTTCATGGCATCTGACACCTGTAAATTGTTTTGGTTATACGGTCCTGATCCTTCTATAAATATATATATATATATATATATATATAAACCTAGTGAGCCAGACAAACCTACCCAGGTTTCACCTAAGCAGATTTCACCTAAGCAGCTTTCCCTGACGATCCACTTAGGTGAAACCTGGGTAGTTTTGTCTGGCTCACTAGGTTTATCTAGGTCTGCTCTACGGTTGTATTGAGCTCTTTTTTTAGTTAGTTGTTTACTCGTGTCGGGGTTTTTTCTTTGGGCTTTAAACTTGTATCTGTGCGATTTTTTTCGACAGACTTTCATGTTTCTAGCTCTTTCTTTTTAAACCTTCGAGATTGATTTGATTATTGGCAAATCAAAAATTCGAAGGTTTTTCGAAACGAGTATAGTTACATATATAGTTATATATATATATTTACATTTTTACACATTCAATATTGTAAGCATATATTATTATTTGCTTTTAGTGTTTTTACCCGTTGTATTACATAAAAGAATAAAAAGCGTGCTTGCAAGCATAAATGATTTTTTTATTTCCTGTTTTAAGTATTGTTCCACTTTTAATAATACACCAATACTTATGCGGAATGTGGTGACTTTTTATGGCTGATATCTGTCACCTGTCATTTTCTGTGGTTTGACATTTCCCTGGCCCAAGGTATGCCAGACTAAAAAGGTCGAACTATATCTCTATAACTGTACAAATATTTGTCTATAGGTGTTAACAGAAAAAAACAGTGTGCACGTATAAAGAAATGCATTAAACATGACATAAAGCTTTATTTTAAAAGTGCATATCGAGAGTGTATGGCGACTGTGTTTCTATTGTCTTGATTGCCCGTGGGTTATTTTTTACTCCCTTGAGTATAATGCTTCACTCTTTCTCAGATTTGAAAACATCAAGGACTGGCACTGGGAAAAATAGCCAGCAAGAACTAAAAGTATTGTAAAGTTCTTATTTACCAACTTTAGCTTAGTTTTGATTCAACGCGAACGGGGTGCCAAGTTTTAAGGAAACCAACTAGACACTTGTTGGGGTCAATCAGATTAACCTTAACCTGGTAAAATTTATCGAACACTGAAATGTGCGAAGGCACGTTAAAGTTAGTAGACATTTAGCCCGCGGAGCTATTGAAAATTTGTAAAGAATATTGACACATAAGGAAGCAGGAAGCTCTAACTACGCAAGAATCTTCCAATTGAGAAGATACCTTCTCCTTTTGAAGATCAGCATTTTAAATTCTGTTTGTTAGCTGAACCTGAAAATCTAAAGAAAAACCTGCACAACTTTAAGCGAGTAAATTGACAGACAGACGTACAGATATACAGAAAGAGATATATAATATAAACAGATCGACGGACATAATGATATAAAGAGACTTAGATAGATATAAAATGTTGGAATAGATAGATAGATAGAAAGATAGATAGATAGATAGATATGACTATAATTCAGATATGAGTAGACAGAGACAGAAAGGAATAGTCTGAAATATTTAATCTAGTAAATGGACTGACAAGCAGACTGGCACAAACAAATAGATAGACAGATATGAACAGATGGAGATAGACAGATACACGAAATATATATATATATATATATATATATATATATATATATATATATATATTGTTTGTTGATGTGAGTTTGTGAATCTGGGTTTCCCGCCCATTGCGATCGTCAGGCAATTTATCTGAGGATCGTAAAGGGCCTGAAACCCAGAGTCACAAATTCACATCAAGGAAAACAAATATGTTAGCTTTATCACTCATATTGAGCGCTTTCCAATAAACGCCGCGCATATATAAAATAGAAATATACATAAATATATATATATATATATATATGTAAAATATATATACATTGCATATATATATATATATATATATATATATATATATATATGTATATAATAACAATATTTTTTGTTTAAAAATATAATTCCTTCGCTACATAAGAGTTCTCATGTTTCAAAAACGAGAGCCGAAATCATCCAAATAATTATTAAAATTAAGTTGAATTGAGGTGTTTAGTCTCGTCCGGCTCTCGTTTTTGAAACATGAGAACTCTTATGTAGGAAGGAATCATATTTTTAAACAAAAATATTATTATTATAATAAAGCTCTACTTCTGTATGGAGCACTGGCTTCTTAAAAATAAAAATGAAAAAAATACTAAGGAATGCCGGATTATGAACCCAACGTGTTCTTTTCTATTTTCTGCATACCTGCACATTTATATTTATATATATATATATATATATATATATATATATATATATATATACAGAATTATGGACAGAATTATTTATCCCCAAATGAATATTCGCATATTTCTCTATATATTAAACTCCCAGTAATACTCGATTGGAAAAAGAGTCGGATAGCACAACTTGTAAGTCTATCAAGACAAATTGGTACCCGAGGAAAAAATTGGGGAAAAAAAAGAAGTAGAAACATCCGAACAGGGCGTCCAGTGCCTTAAGACTTTAGTCCAAAGACAAAAATGCAAGTGAGTAAGAAAGCTAAAACGTAGAGTGCTCAATACGGTAAGCAGAGCAGGGATAAATATAATAAATCCTAAAGAGCCAGGAACAACCTATATAGATTTCACCTAAACAGATCTTCAAGGTAAGCTCGGCATATATATATATATATATATATATATATATATATATATATATATATATATAGAGAGAGAGAGAGAGAGAGAGAGATGAACAGATTGAGACAGTTAGACAAGACACAAAACAACTGAGGTCGATATAGAAATATTGAATATAGATGTATATCGATAGATAGATAAATAGTCAGATAGAAGCATAGAAATATGTTATGTAAATGTACATGTTTATGTACTTATATCTAAGACACACTGCGGAATAAAAACTAACTTATATATATTTACGTGTATTTAATATATATATATATATATATATATATATATATATATGAATATAGCTTGTGATTGTAGATCGGATCAATAAATCGATGACGATGTAGACTAGCAAGCAAGTAGACATGTCAAGCATAAATACACATCAAGGAAAATGAAGAAATAAAGCAAGGAACAGATGAAAATATTGAAAAAAGGAGAGATGGAGAAATAAGAAAAAAGAATGTAGAGAAAGGTTGATAATGCACAATGAGAGATTATGTCGAATATAGAAATGCTGAAATATAGAGATAGAAAAATATAGAAAAGATATAAATAAATTTAAGGGAGAAAGTAAAGAGAAAGAAAGAAAGAAAAGTAATAAAGATAAAAGAAAGAAAGAAAGATGTAAGAAAGAAAACGGACAGACAAGTCGGACAGACAGTTTAAAGAAAGATATAAGGGAGAATAGGAAGGCAAATATAAAAACATAACAGGAAAATGATGAAGAATGGACGAAAGAAAGAAAGAAAGAAAGAAAGAAAGAAAGAAAGGAAAAGAGGAAAAAATATTTGGCACGAATACAATTACGAAAGAAAGAAAAAGGAACATTAAATTAAGAAAAAGAAACGGTTCGACGATGAAGAAAAAAGAAAGGAAAGAAGGTTGGAAAAAATGGAGACAAATCATAAAAAACGGAAATGAAAGAAAGAAAGAAAGAAAAAAAGAAAGAAAGAAAAAAGAAAGAAAAAACAGAAAGATGGAAAATTGGAAAGAAAGAACGAACAAAGAAAGAAAAAAAGAAAAAAAGGAGTAATACAATGAAGAATGGCATAAAAATAAGGAAAATCATGGAGACGAAAAAGAAAAAAAAAACAAAGAAAAGAAAACTGGGAAAATAGGAAGGCAAATCATAAAAAAATACGGACATTATCGAGAAAAAAAGAAAGAAAGAATGCATGAAATACATAACTAAAATCTTTTAAAGGAAAAAAAAAAAAAACGGGCTTGAGTCGAAAACGAGAGAGAAAGAGAGTAAGTAGATAAACAAGACATAACAAAGCGAGAGCAAGCAGGTAATATCAATTGCTATGTCGATGGAGAGAGAAAGAAAAATTAACAGCGACGATAGAGAGAGAAGCAAAAGATTAATGAGAAACGTAAACCGAGAGAAAATAAAGATTAGGAGGAAAGGAAAGAAAAAAAAAGAGACACAGAGTTTGTGTAGAGAGAGAGAGAGAGGTCAGGAAGTAAAGAATTGGGAGTAAAACAAAAAAAGGAGAAAGTGTATAGAACAAAAGATATGGCGGAACAAGAAAGAAAGGGAAATAAAAATAAAATAAGAAAGAAAGAAAGAACAGAAGGTAATGAGTAGGGACAAAAAAAAAAGAGAAAGAAGAAAGTGAAATCGAAGAGATAAAGGGTGGGAGATAGAAATTAAAGAGAGTAAAAGAGAAAAGAAAAACCAGGAGAGAAAATAGAGTAGAGTGGGAAAAGGAGGAGGCAGATTGAGAAAGGATTTGGTGATACGGTGGCGGCGTTGGGGGTGGGTATTACAATGACAGAAAGAAGGAAAAGAGGGAGGAAGAAGCAAAAAGTTCTGGGAAGATATGGAGATTAAGAAGACAGAGAACTTAAGAAATTAACAGAAAGAACGAATAACTGCAAAGCGGATGACATTTAGCAATACAATTAACAGCCAGACGAACAAAACTGGAGTAATGTAATTTACCAAGAAACAGGAAGAAAGTCAGGAAAAACGACGGAATAAGAAGTGAGTGAGTGAGTGAGTGAGAGAGAGAGAGAGAGAGAGAGAGAGAGGAGAAAGAGGGAGAGAGAAAAACTTAGAAATGGATGAACATAAACATTTCATGTTTGTTCCATATCTATCTATCTATCTATCTATCTATCTATCTATCTATCTATCTATCTATCTATCTATCCCAGTTTGTTTCTATCTATCTATCTATCTATCTATCTATCTATCTATCTATCTATCTATCTATCTATCTATCTATCTCACTCAACAAAGGGAGATAGATTATCTATCTCAGTCTGTTTCTATCTATTTATCTTTCGTAGTTTCTATCTATCTATCTATCTATCTATCTATCTATCTATCTATCTATCTCATCAAAGGGAGATCGATTATCTCAATCTCAGGGAGATTTCGATTATCTTCTCGTAGTTTTTATCTATCTTTCATCGTATCTTCTATCTATCTATCTATCTATCTATCTATCTATCTATCTATCTCATCCTGTTTCTCATCCTATTATCTATCTATCTATCTATCTATCTATCTATCTATCTATCTATCTATCTATCTATTATTGTATTTCAATTCTGAAATAAATTGAACGAGACATAAAATATGACGTCTGAAAACCTCCATTCCGAAATTATTACCTTCTACCTGGTCTTTAATTGTGGAAAGTGCACCAGCCTGGCGTATGTTTGTTTATACATTTCTCTATGCACGTATTGCTTTACGTTTCTTTCCTTCATTCTTTCTTTTTCAGTCTGTTTCTTTGTTAAAATCAAATATATTAATAGGTATTTATTAAACTCAGTTTAATCTGCCATGAAGCCAAACGAGTAAACAGAAGTAAGTATGTATGTATGTATGTATGTATGTATGTATGCATGTGTGGGTGCAGGGTATCAAATAGCAAATGTAAGTATATTCATTTCCGTATACATGTAAGTACATAAGAAGGAAGAAGTAGATAGCCTACTGATTGAAATAGGATTTATTTGAGAACAAATATTTATTTTTCAACATAATATCCTTCTTTTTCCGAGCACTTAGTCCAAAGCTTGTCATAACTCGAGCATTTTACAGTGAATATTTCAAACCAAATTTCGGCTAATAACTTGCGCTACAGACTTATTGACACTCTCTTGTTGGGTTTTTAAATAAATATAAATAAACATATATGTAGAGAGAAAGAGAGAAAGAGAGAGAGAGAGATGGCTGCAAAAAGATAGATAGAGGGAGAGAGAGAGGAGAGAGAGAACGATAAGACTATAAAAAGATAGATAGATAAGATAGATAGATACAGAGAGAGAGAGAGAGAGAGAGAAGAGAGGGAGGAGAAGGAGAGAGAGAAGGAGAGGAAGGGCAGGAACTTATGATACTGCTTTCTCAGGAGAGACGGTGAAAATAGAGAGCTGGATTTTGCACAAGTACGCATACACTAATATAAATATAAATATATTTACGCATGTAAACACACACACACGCACATACACACACACACACACACACACACGCACACACGCGCGCGCATGCGCGTGTGAGCATAAATATATAGAAACCTAATGGCTCATATAGAACTATAAGTATTATATGTAAGTCAGGCGTATATTCCTACACAAACGCATATCTGAAGATGAATCCTCTATTATTGTAGATTGCAATGGAAGAGTCTGTCAATCGTGATTAGAGTCCGTACAGTTTATTTCTCTTTCAAAGATCACACGAAGCTGAGTGATTGTCGGAAAAACAAGGAAAAGGAGAAACAGAAGCAAATCATTACAGACGTACTCGCATTTTTCTTTGATGATTTCAAGTAATTGCTTCCCCCTTCGATTTTTGCTTTTGTTTCAAAATCCAGAGGCCTCGTTGCTTATTCGCCTCTTGCCGATCGAAAAACGAACATTAACGAAACGGCTGAGAAGAAAATATCTACAAACAACGAAGCTATGGACGGAGACTTTGAAATTCCAAGGCGCCAAATGAAGAATTTGGTTTATTTATAACTTGGAATTAAATCAAAAATTAACGTACAGCAAGGGATTGGACATCTGTTAGACTCTATAACATAGGTACTATAGCATGTTAAGGTAATTGGACAAATATGTAGACAGGGTTGATTTAGGAAATGATTTATAGAGAGAATATATAGTCAATCTTTTGGGTGCGTGGCCGAGTGGTTAGAACATTCGATTTCTGGCCATGAGACACGGGGTCGAATCTCACCATAGTCGATTTATCAGGAAGGTGTTATCGGTCTGGATGGGGGGGATCTCAGCGCGCGGCACCTTTGGAATGTGCCTGAAAACCATACCACGGGTTGATCCAAGCCATGTGAGAGACAAAACACTTGGGGTGGTCGATAGCTGTGTTAGCACGAAGTCATAAATCATTGTGACCGGGGCTTTGAGTGTGCTGGTGTTGTTCAGATTGTTGATTATTCTAGATAACACGCTCTTTCCTAGAAACTGTAACTAAGGTCTGCTCAGTATAGTTGCAGTATAAATCACAGGTTGGCTCTGTGGGTATTGAACACACATAAATGTGCCTGAGCGAGCGTCTGCAATAGGGATTGGCTAGCCGCCTTAATAGACGGGTATCCTCGAATACGAGTGGCCAGCTATTATATTAAAGTCAATCTTACTGGTATAGGTGATGCATTTTTAATACTGATGAAAATACATAGGTGTGATTCGAAAAGGCGTCAACTGAGAGACACCCTCTCTCCATGTTATCTCATATTTGAAATTAGAAGAATGTTATTACCATCATCATCATCATCATTCCCATGAACAAATGTGGTTGTTGCGTCGTTGAGCAACTGAGCACCTGACGTGTGCCAATATCGTTTTTGTGCATGTTAGTAGTAGTAGTAGTAGTAGTGTGTGTATGTGTGTGTGTATTTGGGTGGTCGTAAGTAGTTCCGGCGGAACCCACCCGTCACCAGATCAGGCCACAGTCGATGTAACCCGATTTATTTTATTCTATTACGACCCCCACATAAATAAATGGACTGCTCCACTATCATTACATTACGATAATAATATAAGTATTTAAATAAGGGAACATTCATTATTTAATCAGCGCCAGACTACTACACCGTCCATGAGTTTTGCTTTATGGTAAGGATATATATATATATATATATATATATATATATATATATATATATATATTTATTTATTTTATA